TTTCTAAATAAGGCTAGACTGCACTGGACCCTGGAATTATACAGAAGTTTGTTGTTGGGTTGGAGGTGAGTGGACAGATGCGAGATGAGTGAAAATATGAAGCCTACGTTAGCCCTCATACAGCTAATGCTACATCTGTGCAGGAAATGGTTAAAAAACCTCCCATTTTTCCACGGAGGGAGTATTGAAGGTTGAATATGGATAAAAACTTGTACTGGAAATGCTGTAATTTTCTCAGGTAAATTGTGAAGTTGAATGCGATTAGAAAAACATCCCCCAAATAGCTTTGGTTTGGTTGGCATGTGACCAAACCCTGAACAGCTGAGATTAGTATAAAAGAGATTCAAATGCATGTCTTTCGCACACGCTTAAGAAACCGAGCTGAAGGAAGGGGAAAACAGCACACGCCATCTGTTTAGGAGGTGTGCAAGCTCCAGAGTCAGCTTGGAAAGAAAGGGGGCTTTCGTCTTTTAAGACCAGTAGGCAGGGAGAAGGGCACAGGCTCAGGGAACCAGAAACAAGGTCAGAAGGCAGGGTAGACAGAGCGTCTGAGACCCATAAAGCCAGCAGGAGCACGGTGCCTTCTGCTGTGTACCACACCAAGTCCTTTCCATCAAAATAGTTCCACATACACCTTCTCTGAGAAACCTCCCCATGTATCTCAGCAGTAATGAGTTATTCCATTAGTGGTGAGGTCATCCGTAGGATTGCCCGTGCCCAGCACTCGCCTATTAGGAATAAAAGGAGAGGTTTTGGTTTGAGTCAAAGGACCTACTGTGGCTCAATCATCTCTCTCCCCTGTGAGGTTCATGAACAAGCAATACATTCAAGAGCCATCAACGGATGAGAAATCAAAATACAACTTTATTTTCACTTGAATAAATGCTCAGTCTCTTAGTGCAGAGCTCTCTTGTGAAAACAACGCTGGAGCAAGCAGCTGATGGGGAGGGCCCACCTGAGCTTCTCCTTCCCCACTACACATCGACCTCTTCCCACCCTCTGCCCTGCCACACGGGACCAGAAACCGCAGCAATAAAAAGTATGTTTGGCTATGCATCTGAGGAAGAGAAAACAAGATGGCCAGATCCCAAGAGGAGGCCTTGGCTCAGCATACCTACTCCTGCTGCATGAGCTAGAAGGAAAGGCTGATGGAGGTTCCTAACCCTGCCCTTGTTAAATGTGGCCCAATTAATTTCCTGGAATCTGAACCATCCGATGAACAGGTCCTCTCTGGGAGAAGGCAAAGGCCAGGAGAGAAGGGGAGAGATGAGCCTTCCCTTTTCTCTAAATACTTGCTCCCCGAAATGTGGGCCCTCGACCAGCGGTATCGACATCACCTAGCAGCTTGTTAGAAATGCACAATCTTGGGCCCTACCCTAGATGAACAGAATGAGGGAACTGCGTTTTAACAAGATCTCCAAGGGATTGACATGCACATTAAAGTTTGAGAAGTACTGAGTTTCTGAATCCTAAATTCATGCCCAAACTGTCATTTCAATCTCTGCTTGCTTCCCAAAATAGTGCTCTGCATATGGTCAATCGTTAATGAAAGGGTGTTTGAGAAATTCTCTTTGGCATCTATTTAATTCCATGTGAAGGAAGGAGATCACTTCTGAGAAGCCAGCACACATTTACCAATGAGTGGCTGGGAGACAGAAGCACACTGAAAACAAGCAAACAGAACAGTTCTAGACATACACACACGGCTCTGCCGAGCAGGACAGATGGGCATAGTAAATCTCTCGCTCCATCCCCCCACCCATAATATTCTCTCCCTCACTCATGCTCTCCTTCACCCAAGCTACTATTAAGCTCTTGCGTCAGCTCTGTTTCAGACACAGGGTAGTACCACGTGGATTACATGTCTCTTGCAGCCCTGTCTTCAAGCTCAAAATCTGAGAACGATATGCTGCACCACTAAGCCAGGACATGGGAGGATGACAAAAAGCAAATCGGCACATCAGTGTTTCTCACCTTTACATAGTTGTGACTGTCACGACCCAATTCATATCTTATTTTGGACCGGGCCTGGATCTCCACTTGCCTGAGTAGGAAGTTAATGACAAAAACTCAGAGCACCCCACCCCCAATTTCTTCTCTTCGCTGTACCTGATAGAATACCTCATAGTAAAAAGGGCCAGGGGCTGGCAAATATGTATGGATTAACAAGAGGCTACCATAATTATTAGGGGATCCGGGGCGCCTGGGTGGCTCAATCGGTTAAGCGTCTGACTTCCACTCAGGTCATGATCTCACGTGAGTTTGAGCCCCGCCCCACACTCCCCTACCCTCGTGGGGCTCTGTGCTGACAGCTCAGAGCCTGGAGCCTGCTTCAGATTCTGTGTCTCCCTCTCTTTCTGTTCCTCCCCTGCTCACACTCTGTCTCTCTGTCTCTCACACTCTGTCTCTCTGTCTCTCTCTCAAAAATAAATAAAGATTAAAAAATTTTTAAAAATTATCAGGGGATCCAATAATGACAGGATTTAATGACGCATGATTAAATGCACACTTACAATGTACTTCACAACAATTCTGTGAAGGAAGTAGTATTCATTCCTATTTAACAAGTGAGGGAATTTGACGTTTTCTTTTTAAATTTTTTTTTTTTCAACGTTTATTTATTTTGGGGACAGAGAGAGACAGAGCATGAACGGGGGAGGGGCAGAGAGAGAGGGAGACACAGAATCGGAAACAGGCTCCAAGCTCTGAGCCATCAGCCCAGAGCCCGACGCGGGGCTCGAACTCACGGACCGCGAGATCGTGACCTGGCTGAAGTCGGACGCTTAACCGACTGCGCCACCCAGGCGCCCCGAATTTGACGTTTTCAAATGTGAAATAACTTACCCAGAAGCAGCAAAGACAGAAACCCAGCATGCACCTGAAGTCCAAAGCCTCTCAACCACTACAATAATATGGTATTTCACTTATCAGAAAACAATGCAAACTCACTGAGTGACTAAAGAATTATTTTTCTTCTCTGGGGCTAATGTGAGTTTTAAATGAGATTAAACATGTTAACGCACTTGGAAAAGTAAGATACTGTAACATACAAGGTTTAGTTTAGTATATTAAGATCCTGCCCAAATAAAAGCCCTCAATACTATACAAATGGCAACTCTGCGTGTAACAAATGTCCACCCTTATGATTCAAGATACCCCAGTCCACTCAATATACAGTTCTCATTCATCACAGGCTTTAAAAGACTATTTAATCACATACAATTGAACATAAATAGAGCAGGAAGCTGTCTATAACACTCCCTGCCACTCATGTTGGTTAAAAGAGTACTTTGTACAAATAAGGATGTAGAACACAAAGGGTGGGAATTACACCAAAATATTAGCAGAATATATCTGGGTGTATAGGTTTCTGGACTTTGCGAATCGTCTAGGGCAGTGCTTCTCACACTCTAATATCTTTGTCCCTTCACGGCAGCCGGTTCTCAGCAGACAGCCGACACTCAGACAGGCTGGAAGAGCAACCGAAGGAATGGAACCTCCCGAGAAAGGGCACTGTCGATGGAAACTGGAACGCATGCACGCCCAGCCCGATGACCAGCAGTAACAGGTGTTTTCCATCTCTGATCTGTGATTCATTCTGCACAGCTGCGGGCACACAGAGGTGTCAGCGGCTCCTGGAATACCGCGCCCCACACGCCGAAGTGCACAGGGTTCCGGGCGCCTGGGCGGCCACAGAGGGAGACACACCTCGGCGACAACCTGGATCCACACAAAAAAGAGGCCCTGCCACCTTAAAAATATTACTGCCTGACTGCAAAGAACCAGAAGCTCGGTGGCTTGTGCCTACGCCCCTTGCTCCTCGCCGCACCTTCCTTTCTAGTTTTCAAGTAATCTATTGAGGGTGAGTCTGCATGCGTCTGGTTGCTGGCGGACCCCCTCCCTAAATACACACACACACACACACACACGCACACGCGCGCGCGCGCGCGCGCGCACACACA